AATGCCTAAAAATCTGAAGGAGCTGAGGGGATTTCTTGGACTAACAGGTTAATAATGGAGGTTCGTTAAGGGCTACAGCTCCATAGCATGGCCACTCACTGAGCAGTTGGAGAAGGGTTCCTATAGGGGGAGACGGCCACATCAGCATTTGAGAGCTTGAAAAAGGTGATGACTATGATGTCGGTCCTAGCTTTGCCAGATTTCACTCAGATCTTCATTGTGGAGATAGATGTGTCCGGATACGGGCTGGGTGCAGTGTTTATGCAGAATCGTAGGCCCATTGCCTATTTCAGCCAGGTATTGATTGCTAGAGCTCGGCTGAAATCAGTTTATGAGAGAGAATTAATGGCCATCGTTTTGGCCATCCAGAAGTGACGGCCCTACCTACTTGGGAGGCATTTCATTATCAGGACCGATCAGCGAAGCTTGAAATACCTGCCAAAACAGCGGATGGTGATGAAGGAACATCAAAGGTGGCTGTCCAAGTTGCTAGGGTATAATTTTGAGATTCAGTATAGACCAGGGGTGGAGAACAAGGCGACAAATACTTTGTCCAAATGTATGAGGGAGCTGCAGACAGTGGCACTATTCGTTTCTTTGATGCTTTACTGGGAGGCTATCAGAGAAGAAAGTGCTAGAGATGAAGATTTGGGAAGGATCAGGGCATATTTATTGGAAGAGGAAGCTCATTGGAGGGAGACAGACTACTGTATCATGGGAGATTTGTGATGCCCCGTACCTCGATCCACATCCCAAATTTACTTCAGGAATTTCATGGAAGCGCGGTTGGGGGCTATTCAGGAGTGCAAAAGACCTACAGGAGACTGGCGGCTGAGCTTTACTAGAAGGGAATTCATAGAGATGTAGAGGAGATGGTGGCGAGGTGTGAGATCTGTTAGAGGAACAAATATCTGGCTATGTCACCAGGGGGACTACTACAGCCGTTGGCGTTATCAGGACGGGTATGGGATGAGATATATATGGACTTTATAGATGGGTTGCCCCGTTCAGAGGGGTTCACGGTGATCTTAGTGGTGGTGGACAGGTTGAGCAAGTATGCACATTTCATTCCCCTCCGACACCCCTACACAACAATGATAGTGGCTTTAGCCTTCATCAGGGAGGTGGTCAGGTTACATAGAGTACCCGAGGCGATCATATCAGACAGAGATAAGGTATTCCTCAGCCATTTTTGGAGAGAGTTGTTCAGACAGCAGGTGACAGTTCTGAAGAGGAGTACAACTTACCACCCACATACGGATGGCCAAACGGAGGTAGTCAACAGGAGCTTGGAGCTGTACCTGAGATGCTTTGTGTCAGAGACACCCAAGCTATGGGCTAAATGGATATCATGGGCGGAGTACTGTACAACACATCTTTTCATTCTGCTTCACAGATGATCCCGTTCAAGGTGTTGTACGGGAACAACAGTACTCCTGTGTCTTTAGTAGAGGAATACTTGGAGGAGAGGGATCGAGTGCTAGAGGAGTTGAAGAGGTATTTACTGAGAGCTCAGCAAATTATGAAGAAACAAGCGGATGGGCATAGGAAGGACATCCAGTTTGAAGTGGGGGAGAAGGTGTTTTTGAAGCTCCAACCATATAAGCAGAAGACAGTCGCTAACAAGAGGAATGAAAAGCTGGCTTCTAAGTACTATGGGCCTTATGAAGTGCTGGAGAAGATTGGGGCAGTGGCATATCGACTGAAATTACCACCATCGGCGATGATACACCTGGTTTTTCATGTCTTGCAATTGAGGAAGGTCATTGATGACTGCACTGCCAACCCCGAGCTACCTGCGACACTCACTGAGGATTTAGAGGTGTTTCTGGAACCCTTAGAGCTGATGGGAGTTCACCAGAAAGAAGACGAAACTAAGGAAGTGTTGATCCAGTGAAAGAACCTATCTGACTACGAGGCCACGTGGGAGCTATACGAGAGGACAAAATAGCAGTTCCCAGATTTTCACCTTGAGGACAAGGTGATTCTTTGGGAGGGCGGTATTGTTACGCCGGTTCACATAGAGTCGGCCCGGCTGGCTAATGGGCCGGCTCAATTCCACTACATGAGGCGGAACAAAGCTGCCCCCCTCTCTGGTTCCACCAAATAGATGGGGCCCGCCCATCTATGTGATTTTCAAAATTGAATAGAGTGGGAGAGGCTAGGCATTTAGGAGGGAATTTGGATTAGGAAGGTTTGGGTATTAAAGTGCATGAGGGAATTATGGAGGATTATGTTTTGATTGATTGGAATTAAGGTTTCTTGGAGGATTGTCTAGAGATTTGGGAGAGACGATCCTCCTCTCGAATTGAGGATCTCTTGTATATTTGCTTTTTTCTTGTTTCCCTTTGATTATTATAAGCTTTGCTATTGTTTGTTTGTTCTTCCACCACGTTTATTTCGTTTTCTCGCTGTTTTATTAATTATTGATTAGGTTTGCTTGCGAACTCAAGTAAA